CGCCACTCCCGGGGGGGCTGGAGGGCCCTGTCCCCCCCCCTCCACCACCCCCACCCCTCGGTGGGGAGCTCCCAGCCGGGCCAGGTGCCCCCCCGACTGCTGGCAGTTCAGGTGAGTTTGGCTCAGGGATGGTGGGACATCCCCCACGTGAGGGCTGGGGGAACCCCGGGGTGGGTTTGGGACCCCCCCACCCCGTGACATGTCCCCCCTTCCCCATCAAACTGCAGTGAAGGTGAAGAAGCCGATCCAGACCAAGTTTCGCATGCCTGTCTTCAACTGGGTGGCACTGAAGCCGAGCCAGATAGATGGCACCGTCTTCACCGAGCTCAATGACGAGAAGGTGCTGCAGGTGAGCACACAGGGGGAGTCTGGGGGGGTCCGGGTGCAGGGTGCTTGGCTGGGCCAGCGCCCCAGTCCATGCTGCACCCAGGCTGAGGTTGCCCCCGTGCCCACCTTGCACCCATCCGCGGTGTCATGAGGCTGCTGGAGGAGCTGGGGTTTGGAGCAGCTCCTTGGCGCCATGGAGAGGGACAACATGGGATCTGCCATCCTTTTCCTGTCACCCCGTCCTTGTCCCCTTGCTCCATCCTCATCCTCACATCCTGGCCATGTCTTCTTCCTCGTCTTCACCCTCTGGTCTCCTCAGCCCCTCCCTGTCCCCTTGCTCCATTCTCGTCCCTTCCACTTGACCTCATCCCCTTGCTCCACCTTCATCCTCTCACTCCTCTCCCCCTTGTCCTGGTCCTCCGGCCCCGTCCTTGTCCCAGATGTCCTGCATCACCTCCCCGCCGTGCCCTCAGCCCTGTCTCCCTGCAGGAGCTGGACATGAGTGACTTTGAGGAGCAGTTCAAGACCAAGGCACAGGGCCCTGGCTTGGACATCACTGCCCTCAAGACGAAGGCCACGCAGAAGGCTCCCAGCAAGGTCACCCTCATGGAGTCCAACCGTGCCAAGAACCTGGCCATCACCCTCCGCAAGGGTGGCCGCAGCATCCAGGACATCTGCACAGCCATCGAGACGTGAGTGTCCCCTGCTTGATGGGAGAAGGTCAGGAGAAGGTTGGGTGCAAGCCCAGCTACATCGAGGGGTCGGGATGGTGTGGTGTCTGCTGGGGTTGGAGGAATCACGGCACCAGCTGTGGGGATGGAGGGATGCAGGCACTGGATACAGAGAGATGGAGGGATGCGGGGACCGGCTGTGGGGATGAAGGGAAGATGGGAACCAGCCATGGGTGACAGGGGCGATGGAGGGACCTGCTGCAGGGTGGGAAACACTGGGGGTTTCCCACCACCTGCAGGTATGACCAGCAAGCTCTGAGCCTTGACTTTCTGGAGCTGCTGCTGCGCTTCCTGCCCACTGAGTACGAGCGGACGCTCATCGGGAAGTTCGAGCGGGAGCAGCAGCCGCCGGAGGAGCTCTCAGACGAGGACCAGTTCATGATCCGCTTCAGCAAGATCCCACGCCTGGCCGAGCGCATGAACGTCATGATCTTCCTGGGCAACTTCAATGACACGGCCCAGCTGCTCATGCCGGTGGGTGTTGGGGGTGGGGGCAAGTGGGGTGACTACGGGTGGGGGGGGCTGCAAGGGGGTGGCATCCTGTGGCGAGACTCACACGCTTCTCCTCCCACCCACAGCAACTCAACGCCATCATCGCCGCCTCCATGTCCCTCAAGTCCTCCAGCAAACTGCGCAACATCCTCGAGGTGAGGAGTTTGGGGTGCGGTGGCCCTGACGGGGGGACGGGTGCGCGCAGGGTGCTGCCAGGGTGAGTGTAGGCACTGTGCCCACACTGGGATGCCCCATCTGTGCCGGATCATGTCCCCAAGCCGTTGTGTCTCTGCAGATTGTCCTGGCCTTTGGGAACTACATGAACAGCAGCAAGCGTGGAGCAGCCTACGGCTTTCGACTGCAGAGCCTGGATGCGGTAGGGTCGGCGCAGGGCTGCCCGGTGTGCTGGTGTATAGGGGCACTGTCACTGCCTGGGGACCAGCTTCGGGGATGGAGGGACATAGGGACTGGCTGTAGAGAAGGAGGGACATGGGAACCTGCTGTGGGGATGGAAGGATGCAAGGATCAGCTATAGGGGTGGAGGAACGCGGGATTCAGCTGTGGGGAAGAAGGGATGCAGGCACCATCTATAGGGTTTGGAGAGGCATGGGGAGGAGCTATAGGGATGCAGGGGCCAGCCATGGGGGTGGAGGGACACAGGACTCAGCTGTGGGAATGGAGGGATGAAGAGATCATCTATAAGGTTGGAGAGGCATGGGGAGGAGCTAAAGGGATGGACATACACAAGAACTAGCTGTGGGGTCGGAAGGATGCAGAGACCAGGTACGGAGAGATGGAGGGATGCAGAACCAGCCATGGGGAGAGAGCCACCAGAGCCTGCCCTGAGCAGGGGTGAGGTGGGATGCGGGCTGGGGCTGACGTTGCTCTCTCCCAGCTCCTGGAGATGAAGTCGACGGACCGCAAGCAAACGCTGCTGCATTACCTGGTGCGGGTGATCACGGAGAAGTACCCCGAGCTGACCGGCTTCCACACTGAGCTGCATTTCCTCGACAAGGCGGGCACAGGTAGCACCCATGGGCACCGGACTAGGGGTGTCACAGCAGGGTGCAGCCCCAGTGCGGGGGCTCTCCAAGCCTGCCCTGACCCGGGTGCTGCCTGCCCTTCCCGCAGTCTCCCTGGACAGTGTGCTGCAGGACGTGCGGAGCCTGCAGCAGGGGATGGAGCTGACCCGCAAGGAGTTCATGCGGCAAGATGACAGCCCTGTGCTCAAGGACTTCCTCAAGGTCAACTTGGAGGTGATGGAGAAGCTGCAGGCTGACAGCAAAACTGCCAAGGTGGGTGCTGGGAGTAGTGTGGGGTCATGGGGCAGGATTGGTCCCCCCCATTCCTGCATGGGGACACCCTGAGGTGCCCTCTGCTCACACCTCTGCCCCATGGGAGAGGCTCCTGGTCGGGATGTGGCTCCAGTGGGAGAGCTGGGGGGGATACGGAGGAGGATGCCGAGGTAGGAGAGGCTGGAAGGAGGCAGTGGGCAATGGAGTGGTGCTGCCTGGCCCCAGCCCCCCGGATCGGGGTGTCTCTGCCTGCAGGAGGCATACGAGTCAGCTGTGGAGTACTTCGGGGAGAACCCCAAGACCAGTCCCCCCACCACCTTCTTCCCCATGTTCATGCGCTTCATCAGAGCCTACAAGGTAGGAGGGGAGGGGGGGGTGCCCTGTTTCTGGGGGCTGGGAGGGGATTTGGGGTTGGGGGGGGTCTGATCCAACCTTGGAGTAATCAGCAAAAGCCACATGCAAGACTGGGGGCTTGTGGGGCAGGGAGACCCTGGGGCTCGGTGCTGCTCTTTGGGGCGGTCGGAGATGCTGGAGCTGGGGGCTGCCGAGGAGAGGAAAGGGGAGCTGCAGTCCCACAGGAAGACCCCCCTGGCTCAGCACATCCTCCCTGCACTTCTCCCAAGAAAGCAGAGCAGGACATCGAACTGTGGAAGAAACAAGAGGCCGCAGCCAAAGAGGCAGAATCTGGCTCCCCTGGCAGCGAGGACCAGCCTGAGGTGAAGGTGACCCACATGCCTCTGTCCTGGTGGGGCAGCTCTGCTCCAGCCCTGAGAGGGCTGTGTGGTGGGGAAGGGCAAAACAGGTCCTGGTGAGGGAGAGCTGGGTGGGGGGTGAAGATGGGGGCACCCCATCTCCTTTGGGGGTGCGGCAGAAGGTCACACCGTTCACCCCGTGCTGTCCCCAACCACAGTTGCCCATCCAGAAAGCGAGGCGGCAACAGATGGACATGATCGCTGAGCTGAAGAAGAAGCAGATGGTGAAGGAGCCACTCATCTATGAAGGAAAAGACGGGGCCATCGAGGACATTATTTCAGGTGAGAGATTATTTCAGGTGAGCGGCTGGGCATCCCCCCCAGGCTCTGTGCCAGCGGGGAGACCCTCAGTGACGGGGGGCTGCGGGGGGCTGTCAGCCTGGACCGAACCCACCTGTAGCACTTTCCCATCCTATGCAGCAAAGGTACTGAGTGGTCTCTGCCCTGTCTCATATCTCTTCCTCCTCTTCTGCTTCTTCCTCCTCTCTCCTCCTCCTCGCTGTCTCTGGATTGCTCTGCTCAGCTCTGAAAACTGTTCCTTTCACGGCCCGGACGGGCAAGCGCTCGTCCCGGCTCTTCTGCGATGTGAGCTTCAATGAGGAGAGTCCTCTGTAGGTAACGTGGGGGCAGCCGGGCTCGGGGTGAGGGCAGAGTGCAGGCAGGGGCTGCCAGACTTTGCCACCCTCCTGGGTTTCTTGGCCCATTGTCGCCTCTGGCTGCGTGGCACATCGGCTGGACTCTGCCCCATGCTGAAAGCCAACCCCAGGGGCACCATGGCATCAGCCCCCGTCCCACAGTACGGTGCTGGGCACCGAAAGAGCCGAGGGACGGGGACCCATATGCTGGTTGTTTGTAGCTGCTGCTCCTCCTGTCTCTGCATGCAGCAGGTCGGGCTTCTCCTGAGCATCCTTGTACCCAAACGGGGTGACTCCTGGGCGGTGGTGGGTGCCTGGGTCCCAGCCTTCGCCGGGGTGGGCAGGCATAGCTCAGCCAGCCTCTGTGCTTTCTCCCGGTGCAGATCTGCGGAACAACCCTTACCGGCGCGCAGACAAGGGCCGCGGCAGCGCCAAGAAACGGGCTGCGGGGCAGAGCCTGCAGGCGATGCCGGACATCTCGCTGTGACCGGCGCCGTCCCTGCAGCTGCCAGGACCGGGACAGGACCATCCTCCCGATGCAGATGGGATCGCAGGACGTCAATCCGTTGGCCTGGGATGACATGGGGCAGAGGGACAGTGCCCGCTTCTAGCTGCTCCAGCCGCTTAGCGTGCCAGCTCCCACCCTGCATGCCCTTGGGTCTGGCGCAGGGATCCCCTGGTGCTTGCTTAGCAATGCCTTCGAGCTCCTCTCCTCCAGGCTGGCAGGGCTGGGAGACCCTCCTGGGGATGGGCAGGGAGGGGGGAGCACAGAAAGGGCCCCAACTCATCCTGGAAGGAAAAGAGGAGCTGCCCCATCCCTACCCCAGAGCTACTCCATCGCACACCCATCTCAGGGTCAGCCCTGTGCACTGGTGTGCCCCGCTCTTCAGCTTGCTGGTGCCTTTGATTTCCCGCTGCAGGAGGGGAGGAGGGTTGTAAGCCAGGGACGCAGCAGTCCCTGCACATCCCCCCTACCTCCCCCAGCCCTTTGAGACCTGTGTTCTCCTCCGCTGCAGAGCCGAGCAGGCATGGGCTGCACCTCCTCTCCAGCGAGAGGCCTGCTGCAAAGATCCCACCCTGGGCACTTCCCATACCCCAGGAGCTGGCAGGGGTGCTATTTTACAGTGATTTTATATGTCTTCCTTAAAATTTCTCTGTGCTACGGGAGCAGGGACTGAGGCACCTATATTGAGGGTCTCACTAGGATCATAAGGCTGTGATGAGTCTGTTCCTCACCGCAGGGGAGGCTCTGTAGCTACAACCATCAGCAGCAGGGTCAAGGATTTACTATCCTCAAGTCTCTGCGAGGTGGTACCTAGCTCTGCCCTCCTGCATCCCTGGCATCCACCTCTGCTGTTGGGGCTGGAGCCTCTCGGAGGTAACAGTGACCATCAGCCCTCGGGGAGCACAAGGCTGCTCCCCATTAGGCAGCAGCTGAAGGATGCGACATGCAGCAGGTGCTGGGCAGCCTGCAGCCCCTGCAGCAAACACCACGATCCCAGAATGCTGCAGGGTCACAGCTGAAATCACGCAGGAGAGAGGCCAGAGAGCTGCACAAGCCTCCAGATAACGCACTGGACTTGATTCCTCCCCTGCCCTGCTGCTGATCAGTAAAGCCAAACCATGCACTATCGCAATTAACCTCTTAATGCATTTACTTTGTTAAACGGCCCCTGCTTGCCCTGCTGCGAGGATGCGTGGCTGCCGTGTACATTCTCGCTAGTCCCAGCTTTTAGACCAGGGTAAGTCCTCGCTGTAAGCCAGAGCAGCGACTGCTTCCTGCTGTAATTAAGATGCTAAGCGCCAACCGGCTCAGTATCACACACAAGCTCAAAGGGGAGGGAAGGGAAATGAATGCGTAACTTATAAATGCCTTTAAGCCAGAAATGTAAAACATTAACTGCTAATTTGTATACATTATTTTTATATACTGAAGGCCTGTTTAATCTAAAGCAGAACTAGTAATAAAATGACTCTAAGGATAAAGCACTTGTCTGTGAGAAGAGGTGAAGCTTTGCATGGGGGGGTGATGCTGCAGTGGATGGAGGGAGGGATGGATGGATGCACGAGCTGCTGCTTGTTGCTTTGCTACCAATGCCTGACCTCCTGCGTAAGGAATAGGTGCCAGGAGTGGTGACCACGGTCCTTTGAGCATTTTTAAGTGGAAGACGTATTTCTGACTTGCCCATCACTGCAGCTGGGGGTAGGGTAACTTAAGGCTCTGCTCAGCCCTGCAGCTCCTTCCAGGACTGGCAGCCTCCAGGCAGGTGTAATCTAATGGGTGAAAACATGAGCAATAAGAGTGCCACAGGACAACAGAAGGGAAAAGCCAGGACTTGTGGCTCTTCCAAGGGGCAGTCCCACTTCTTAGTACACAAGAGTCCCTAAGGAGAAGGCTACCAGACCCAGGCACCTGCACAGACACGTACCTATCTCTGCTGAGCTACCTGGGCGAGGAGGTCACAGCTTCTGCCGTCCACAGCATGGATGACCAGACGGCTTGGGGAGAGGCTAGCTCCAGGCCAAAGGTCCAGGGCAAAGGCCCAACGCAAGCTATTTTACACAGCTGCTCAGTTGGGCTGTCCTCAGAGACAAGAGGTGGTTTAGTGATTCCCTAAGCTGATCTGTATCTTTACAGGGAAGTCTAGTGACAAAACAGCCACCTTTTTTTGTGGACAACTGATTTGACTTCTGTGTTCACAGCACGAGCATAGGTACGTGATAGCAATGCCCCCTGCCACTTCAATCTGGGGTTTATGTTTCAAGATAACTGATCTCACTCGCTCACTGGCAATACCACCAGCACACCTCTAGTCCACTGTGCTGACTTAACAGACATGCACTGCAGAAGTGGAGACAAACAGCTCCTGCCCCAACAGCAAGCAGAAGCACTTGCTGAAAGGTGTGGGCAAATCTCCAGAGCTCTGCCTGCCTAACCTGGTGTCTCTGGATCCCGGACCTACATTTGCGCTATCGAGGGGACAACTCAGCAGCTCCCAGTACAGCAAATCCCCCTGCCTGCAATGGGACAGGAGGAGGAAAAGGGATGACCTATTTGGAAACAGAGAGATGCCAGTATATTTAGCAAATCCTGTGCTTAGATCCATGAAAGTTATTGCTGCCTCATCATACCCAGAAACGACTTCTCCGTGCATCCCCCAAACAAGGGTAATATATAGCGGAGTTTAATCAGACCAGGCTTCCCTCCTTGGAATATGTCTTTTTCAGCACCACTGTCTTGTTCTCTGGGACAACGTACCAAACCACTAGCAATGAGAATGAAGAAACTTTTTTTCCAGCTTTATTTTTTTCCCTGTGAAAATGCAGGTCAAATATGTTAATTTCAAGAAATCACAGTTTTATAAAGTGTCATTCGTTCAATACAAGCTAGTCGTTCCATTGCCTTCACCGACACCAGTACTGCCCATCCCAAAGAGATTATTAGCTTCATATTGCTTTGCCAACAGTGATTTTGCCAGACTTTCAGAAGGACCTACAAGACAAGAGCCATCTGTGTTTATCACTCCTACTGCTATTTGTCCTCCCTACCCTGAACTGGGGTTCTGTCCTAAAGACTAATTACGTTATTATACACAGTTTCAGCCAAATTTTAACATGGATAACAAAAAGCTTTCCTGACTTTCTCTTCTGTCAGTATTGCACAGCCAGTCTTGATCTGGAAGCTGGACTGTTTATGCCTGTCACAGCAAAAACGGCCAGCCAAATTAAGAGGAAACTGTCCTGGCAGCAGGAGAGAGCCAAGGAGATCCCAAGCTGGTAAGTAGCAAAACCATGAAAACCCTAGAGATACTCTTGAGAGAAGAACCACATTTCAGGACAGTAAGAAAGCACCAGTGGTTTGTGGTATTAGCTGAAGCGTCTTTCCCATCCGGCAGGGACTGCTGACACCACAGCCTGCTTGTCTGGCCGGTTGTCACGTAAAAGATTTGTTAGGTGGAAATCTGCAGCCTCACTTTCTCACTTGAGGTGGCAGCAAAATAGGACTGAAGGTTTTGGACGAAACGAACAGGATGGAGATACTGGCTAATGCTGGTGTGAGAGTACAGGAGAACATGGACATCTCCATCTACCCAACAAAGACATTCTGGGTTCGCAAGGGTTTACTGCCTTTCACCCATTTGTGTAGGTGGCCTGAGATTAACGTTAATGCTATAGATGAAGTGTAAAGCTCTGAAGTCCTGTAAACAGAGGGCTGCTGCATCCTGCCCTACTGCTCGGCAGAACTTGAGTCTAACACCAATGTACAAAACCGTACACCTGTACATCGAAGCATTTTGCAGACAACAGCGAAAGCCACGAGATGCAGCCTTTGGGAAGGGAACAGACCATGCTTTCGTATTGACACATCACCAACAGTGATGCGTCATATTGACACATCACCAACAGACTCTTCTTAGAAACAACCAACAGGTTTTTCTGTTTTTCTCCTCCCCCCCTCAGAGGAAGCCTAGGAAGGGTGCCAGGTGTGGGGAGTTTGGTTGGTGCACTGAACATGTGCTTGGGAGCTCCTAGGAACCCTGGAGAGGCATTTTGATCCCTCCTGCTCTAGAGCTTACAATTCTTAGTAGTTTACAGCACCTGAAAAAAGAAATCGAGCCAACCTACCCATTCCCCCCACTCCTTCCTGGAAGACATGTGCGTAATGTGTTAATTGTTTACTAAAAAGACTCTTAATGTGGCATTTCAGATATAATTAGGTGCCTATTTTGGACAACGTATTAAGTGCTTTAGAACAAAAAGTGCTATAAAAACTATACCCATAGTGGTGACAGGCTTAATTTTTCTTCAAGAGTTCCACTTTTTTAGTACATCACAACTTTTGTCTTCTGATTAGGGATGTCACTGCCTAGTCTATCAAAACCAGCCGATGTTCTGGGAGACCAGAGGGAAAGAGTATCAGTTGCTTAAGAAGCATTGGTCCTCAGAAAGGGAGGCCCAGACTATAACTTTTCCCAGCTATTTTCTAAGTGAACTTCACCTGAGGAAACTGCCAACATTCCTGCCCCGTTGTGTCCCCCAGAACCAGCATGGATCCAGCAGTGCCTACCTTGGGAGCCATTTCTCCATTCAGCCTGGATGTAGATAGCCCCTGCTCAGAGGCCACTGCAGTTACAGCACTCTGAAAGAGCCACAGCACACCGTCAAGTGACTGTGATTTCCAGGTGTGCAAGGACTTTGAGCAGTCCTGAACAAGTACACTCATAGCTTACACCTCCCGCTGGTTTTGTTCTGAGTTACAGACGGGCTAGCAGCATCTGCCCATCTGAATTTGATCCATGCAGTTTCAGTATACTCCAAACAATTCACAAATCAGTAAAAAAAAGTTCAAAGCTTAAGGCATTCTGGGCCCAGCTGCCCATCCCACTCCATTAACACATTTTGACATAAGGGGAGCAGTACGAAGCCTCGTGCCAGTCCCTAAGTGCTAGCAAAGACAAGCTGAGCTAACACACCACACAGAACTGGGGCACTGACCTCCCACGGAGGGGCTGAGCAGCTGGCCGGATTGATAGCTGGGAGTGAGATTTTTTTTATAAACGCTTCAGCAAAATTCAGACCTTGTCTGAGCTGATTGAGCCACTGTCCCTTCCCCCTCCAGGGGGAGCTGCCTGGATGGGACAGTTCACATGAAGTCCCAAGTCAGTGGTGGAAACAGGATGGAGGAACACAACCCCTCCACCCTGCCCACCAAGGAATATCATACCCTCCTCCTGCCCTACCTGCCAGACAGTGTTGGCAGCCACACCAGGGAGAGAGAGCACCAGCTCCTAAGTTGGGGAGACGACCTGAAGATGAGAGCTGCAAGCAAAGCTCTTTCTGGGAACAAAGTTCTTTTCTGATTCAAGAAGGAAGTGTCTGCGGGGAAGGGTGGGAGGTGAAACCAAGAACCCAGCTAGTTACTGCTGTCGATTTTCCCCATGCAAAAGGCTTGAGGTAGAGATGATGCTACTCAAAGCCTACAGAAACGTTAAGTTTTTCCTCCAGCTAGAAGGAAGTTAGCCAGCTCCCCTCGGCACAACCAACCACAGCTGCACTGAAGATACTCAACCTCCTCCTTCGGGCAAGCCCAGCAACTACCGGCTTCACCTCGGAGGCTGAGAAACAGGAGTTCTCATCCAATCCCCTATTCTCCTGAAAAGCACAATCGCATTCCTCTGAAAAGCAGGAATTTCCACCCACCATTCTCAAGCTCAACCTAACACTCACACCCAAAACAAGTAATTCCCACTGTTCTGGGGAACACCTAAGCTCAGGACATGTCTTGGAACTGGATCAGAACAGACAACAGAAGTGAGGCCCGAGAGCAGTGAGCTGCTGAACTGCTATCCTACTTCAGCACAAAACACCAGCAACTGCACTTGGTGCTCCACGGCGGGGGTGGTTGGAAGCTTTTGCAATTCCTTCTTTCAACAAGGTAAAAACCTCCAAAACAGGAACAGCTTCATGGCCTGTTCTCCAGCTGACCGTGTTTGACTCGCCATGTCCAGCTGACGCTGCAGTCAGGGGCAAGGGTGCACTGCAGCTCAATACCAGAGTCGGGGACCTCCATGTCGTAGTGAACTGGCTGGCCTTCTTTAGTAACCAGACTGAAAGCAGGGACTGGTATCTGTGAAGCAGAACAAACAGATCTGAGTGGCACTTCAAGTTTCTTTCAGAACATAGTATCACTCTATCAAACCCAGCAAATAGCTTCCCAACCCAAGAAAAGCTCCTGGAGAGAGGCTTGTGCTTGGCAGGAACATCCTAACCTTCTCTCATAAGAAAGTACCTCAGAAACTGGACTAGGTAGCATTCACCCTGCTGACGAATTGCCTCACCCAAGTTTTTGACCATTGATGGTGGTTCCTGAACTGCCTATGTTTGAGCAGTGTGAATTCCTCTGCAGGCTAGTGATATTTTGC